TCCGCTGACCTGCTGAACTAGCAGTCAGCTGAAGTAGCTGCAGTACTGCACTCTAACCACTGCGCCACCCCGGCTCTTCTGCTTGCTACAAACTGGAGCATACCAGGCAGGAAAATATCCTTGCCAATCATGGGCAGCTAGTTTTCTAATTGCAGAAGTCTTCTTATGCATTTATGACCAAATTGTTTCTGGGTTAAATTTGCACTTTAACATAAAACAGGCCAGAATTCTCTTCAAAGATCTCTGCAGTTCAATGGTTTAAAAAGTAAGGTTCTACACTTAGGCAAGAAAAACCAAATGCACAGATGCAGAATAGGTGGTGTTTGGTTCAACAGCAGTAACTGTGAAAGGGATTTTGGAATCCTAGTGGATACTCACTTAAATATGAGTCTGCAATGTGCTGCAGCTGCCAAAAAAGCCAACACAGTCCTAGGTTACATTAACAGAGGGATAGAATCAAGATCACATCAAGTGTTAACACCACTTTATAATGCCTTGGTAAGACCACACTTGGAATACTGCATCCAGTTTTGGTTACCACGATATAAAAAAAATATATGTTGAGACTCTGGAAAGAGTGCAGAGAAGAGCAACAAAGATGATTAGGGGGCTGGAGGCTAAAACATATGAAGAACAGTTGCAGGAATCGTGTGTGTCTAGTTTAATAGAAAAAGAATGACTAGTGATGGCGAACCTTTTCGGCACCAGGTGCCAAAAAGGTTGCGTGGAAATATCATGTGCATGTGTGCTCATGCTCACCGGGACTGCGCTCTGAAAAAACCGAACTTCTGGGTTCTAGCATCAGCTGGCTGGCACGCATGCGTACACGAGTTTTCGGCACTGCAGCGCATGAAGGACAGCTGATTCTCGCGCATGCATGCACACCAGAAACCTGGAAGACAAACAGACCAGGCTGTGCATGCTGGGCGACATGGCTTCACTTGCCACTTTGGGCACGCATGCCATAGATTCGCCATCATGGATCTAAGGGGTCGCCACAAAGAAAAGGGGTCAACCTATTCTCCAAAGCACCAGAAGGTAAGATAAGAAGCAGCGGATGGAAACTAATCAAGGAGAGAACCAATCTAAATGTCAGCTTTCGATGTCATCTCAAATAAATTGCACTCCCAAACAATTAATCTTTGCTGAAATATTCCATTTATTGAGTACGACAGATCTGACCCCGACTTCGTCGTAGCCGATACTAACCCTCTGACCCCCAAACCCTTCCCTTTCCGTTCCCCAATTCTCATCTTCTCATTGGCCATCTTCCAAGTCAGTCTCCCCAGCTTCTGACCTCATCCCACAGGAATGTCTCCCCTCCCATCCCATCTCCTAGGGGATATTATCTACAGAGAAAATAAGTAGGTGAAAAGTCAAGCCTCGTCTCCTCCTTTTTATGGCAGCATCAGAATGCTGACACTAAAATTAAGGAGAAATTTCAGGACCGCGAGAACAATCAACCAGTGGAACAACTTGCCTCCAGAAGTTGTGGGTGCTCCAACACTTGTAGGGTTTTAAAGAAGAGATTGGACAACCATTTGTTTGAAACGGTATACGGCTGTGATGGCAAATCTATAGCACGTGTGCCAGAAGTGGTACTCAGTGCCCTCTCTGTGGGCACGCGAGCTGTCGCCCCAGTTCAATTCTGCCGTGCATGTGAGTGGACCTCCTGCCAGCCAGCTGGTCTTCGGGTGTCTGCCATGCATGCGTGAGTGGTTGGGCAGGTGAGGGGGGGTGACCATGCATTCATGGGGGTGGGTGGGATGCATGCAGGGGGCCATGCATGCATGCACGGGAGGGCAGGGACCGTGCAGGGGGTCACGCACATATGCACGGGGGTGGGGTGCATGCATGGTGCATTCATGCATTGCATTTTGGGGGTTCGGGCATGCGCGTGCGCATGTGCGCATGTGCACATGTGTGCATATGCGTGCTTTGGGCACTCGGTCCAGAAAAGGTTAGCCATCACTGGTATAGGGTCTCCTGTCTGAACAGGGGGTTGGACTAGAAGACCTCTAAGATCCCTTCCTGTTATTCTGGTAGCTTTTAAAACCCTTTCCTGGAGGGACTTAAAAGCAGTTGAAAAAGCGGGGAGGGGAACTCAAAGGAGAAAATTCTTTCATTTGTCTGAAAAAGGCAAGATCTGATCCAGGTCTCTCACAAACCTTCAGCAAAGGAATATATTCTCTTCGAGAGTAGATTAAGTCAGCCCCCACTTTTTTTTAATTGCTCAGAAAGAAAAAGTACTTTGGGGGAGGATGCTTTGAAGTTACCGTGGGGGAAAAAAGAAGGAGAAGCAGCCGATTGAAAGTAATTTGACTCTTCCGGCCATCAAAACATCAGCTGATTTGCCCTGAATTCACTTCTCGAGCATCCATTAAATAATGGTTTATTATTATCCTCCCCACCCCCGGAGATGTGGTGGGGAGGGCGAGAAGGGACAGACGGCATCTTAGTTACCTTCCTACCATTAGCAGTTTCTCCACCTTCCTGCTTTCAATCTCTTTGCTTTTATAAGGAATTAAAAGCTCTTTGCCCATCCTAAAGGGAAAAAAAAACACGTTTAACCTTCTGTCATAATTGTCTTCTGTTGATACCGCTTGCAAATGTAGGCAGGAAAGAAACAAACAAAAAAAAGGCTTTAAATCTTCCTTTTATCAAAAGGAGAATCCTTTTGCCCTACTGGAGCTTGGAGGAAGGAAGGAAAAAACAGCCATTTTTTGTGTTGTATTAATTTGTTGGGCTTATTTCTTTCAGGCCTGAAAGGATCATAAACCCTACCGTGGTCCTATTTATTTCATTTTATTTATTTAAAATTGTGCGGGTCAGAAGGAGGGCTGAGAAAATATCTGCAGGCCCCTCACATCCTGGACATAAACTGATTCAATTCCAGACAACCATTGTATGCCAAAACAACTAGATACAGAGACAGATTTTTTCCCCTCACGTCATCACTCTGCTGAACATCTAATCCGCACAGTATTGTTTTATATTTAAGAATATTTAGCCATGTGGTGTGGCTGTGGTATTATTATTATTAGCCTTCTTATTATCTCCTTTACTACCCTCTCTTATTGGTAGTATTAATATTATAATTATTATTACTCTGTTGAATAGAATAGAATAGAATAGAATAGAATAGAATAGAATAGAATAGA